CATCGCTACTAGGAACAAGAAGCTACTAGGGGCTCCTGGCCTTACTACTAGGAGCAAGGACGCAAAGGCATCGCTACTAGGAACAAGAAAATACTAGGGGCTCCTGGCCTTACTACTAGGAGCAAGGATGCTACTAGGAGCTTTTCAAAACGTGGCGTCTCGGCTTCCCGTCTCAGCTTCTCTCGGGTTCCCGGCGTTGTCGGCGAAAACGGTGACCCGCACGAAGGGCGCCCACTCCTCGGTGACGTCGTAGCAAAAGGCGATGCAGCGGCGGAGCGTGCGCTCCAGCGGCTCCGGCATCGGCGACTTTTGGACCTCGTCCTGAGTGGAGCATTCATCTGGCTAAAACTGTTCAAATCACGGTGTCAAACATATCAGGGAAAATGAGGAGGAAAGGAAAAGGATGAGAAAGGCCAACAAAAAGGATGTGCTGTAGAAACTCAAGCTCGCCAAATCACATAATTCATTTGTGTAATTACTGTATAATGCTGGCTTTCAAGCTTCACGAAACGATGGCCAGGGTGGTTGTTAAAGCTGAGCCAGGTTTCCACCAGCTGTGCCACCCGTTGCTTGTATCGCGATGGCAGCAAGGTGGCAGGCAGCCCACTGATGCAGGCAGGCTCTTCCGGAGCGGAGCTGTGGTTTCCCCCCATGGCTGCGAACACGTGCTGCTTTGGCACGGACTTGGAGAATGGCGGTTGGCCCGTGCAAGCAGTAGCAACGTTGCAACTCTCATGCAAGCACTCTGGAATCATTGCTGCATCCGTAGAGTGAGCAGTCTGCAAGAACAAAGACACTTTGTTGTTTCATTTCTTGTTGTAAAACTCATGTGCAAAGCTTTGAGCCTGAATGTTTCCCCGAAAGCTTAAGTGGTTGGCTCAGAACCGCGCCGAGAACCAACTCTTGTGCACCTGGACATGCAGCATCATAGGCTGCCATAAAGAAAAGATCAAAGCACGTGCAAACATCGGTGCAGGTATGTGGAAACCCCTGAAACCAAGGACTCCACAATACTACTCCACAGCTCTCAAACTTGAGAAGCTCGTTAGAGTATGATTCCGGGTGGTATATACATCCATTTGTTTCATCACTTCTTCAACATCAAAAATCTTCAATGGAAGCCATGCCAAGAAGTCACCATGCTGAGACTTAAGATCAAGGCAAAGGGCCTCTGGCCAAAGACCATGCTTGGTGTAAGCGAAGAGCGCTGCCTAAAGTCTCAGTTCGATCCTCTGACGAGGTGTGGATTCTCCATATGCCCTACACTGTTACACCTCCAGCCTAATAGTGATGGCCTCCAACCTACTTGCAATGGCCTCCCCTAAGAGCGCCCTTGCTACTAGTAGCTTCTTGTTACTAGTAGTAATGCCAGGAGCTGCTATGCTCCTAGAAGCGATGCGGTAGCTTCTTGTTTCTAGTAGCTTCTTGGCCCCCCATTATCAAAAGGCCTGAGGAGCTTGATCGATACATTGCATCGAAACATGCACGGGTTCTTGAGGCACTTCAACCTGAAGGTTCATTCCATGGGTGACACTATGGAGAACAGAAAAAACGCAGTGCCCAATAATTGGAAAGCGTGACCACGGAATGTGCACTGACAGTGTATGGCAGTGGCCACGGGGCAAGCCGGACACACTGCCTCGCGACTGCCCATGAGGCTGCCACTCCCAGGTCTGCCACTGCGCGTAATTCGCCCTGGCGAAGACACGAAGTGCCAATGCGGAAAGGGTTGTTGGCTGGAACTCACTTTGATTCGATGGAAAGGTGCTGATATTTATTCCAACATAATATTCCAACCTCTGTCTGAATATGACAATCCAGCCTCGCCTCTCGATGCCTCTCTCTCTCTCTCTCTTTCTAGCGCTTTCTCTATATGCAAATTTTGGCCTTGTCCAAACATAGTGCCCAAACATGAAAGAGTTAGAAAAAGCGCATGGAGCAACTACAGCCGCGAGATTTTGGCCATGGGAACTATGACAACTGTTCGGTTTAGCCGAAAATCTTGAAAGCATATACAGATCAGCCCGGTGCCTGCTTCTACTTCAAGGGATGGTATTAATTGTCACACATTAGCTCACACCATACTTACTTCTGGATCCAGGTTGTGGGCTGATCTATCTTCGAGTCGGCTCCCGCTTCAGGTGAGGGCTGCCAAGTACTTCGATTCAAGACATCAACTCCTGCAAGGTCAGTGGCATGTGCCAACACCAACGCAGACTGGAGCCGAGATCTGCTTGAATGGCAATATTGTTTTGATTGCATGTGAGCATCCCAATTATCCCATATTGAACTCGAGCATGAAGCCCTGCAATGTCGGGAATCAGCAAGCTGCAAGTTGCAAGCTGTAGGCTTTCAGCCTCGATAGCCTCTGCACTACAGTAACTTGACTAAAGTGCTCTTGACAAACAATCCTTGCATGACCGCAAACCACACACCAAAACATATTGATTGTCTTTTTTGATATGACAACTTCTGGTGAACACCAGCATCGATTTGACAAGAATTTTCTCCCGACTCCCTCTCCTTGATCTTTCCGTTTCGGAGCAATGGCTTAACTCCACCCATGCCACCTGAGGTCTCGTCATGTCTCGTCTATCGAACCAACAAAGTGACTAAGCGACCATCTTGCAGTGACTGAGCCAGCCAAGTGAACCTTTCAAGACTCATTATGTCTATTCAGTTAGACGGGGTTTGTATGGATTTGTCATGGTTTGTCCATGTGACCCCGTGGACTGTTAGGTTTTTGTCCCTTGTTGGGTTGAACATGGTTGAACTTCTTCTTGCAATTGGAGCCACCAGCCTGTTCAGTCCGCATGCACTGACACTAAAGCAGCAGTAGAACTTCCAGTAGACTGTCGTCTTGCATGGGCGAAGATCAATACATCTGCAGATGTCGGCTGCGTGCATACACACAAATATATCAAATATGATCAAATATGTATACATGCACGCAGGTATGTATGCATGTATGTATGCATGTATGAATGCATGCATGCATGCATGCATGCAATGAAGTATGGACGCATATGGATCAAATGCGGATGGGTGTGCGTGTCCGACCAAGGCACCATCATTGCATCCTCCAATGAAGTTTCCCTTGATCCAAACCTTCGGCACGCTGGTCGAGTTGGTCTTGGCCGCGAGTTCGCTCCTGGCGAAAAGGCAGAGCATTCAAGATGACATATCATCCCATGTGCATGGCTTCAGCTGGATCCAGCTCTTTTGCATCAAACACTTGGGGTCCATTATGGTCCCTCTTCCAACATCCGAAGCACTCAGTGCTGTCCTCAATGCCGGATCGACCTCCACGATAAAAGGTGGATAGCCAGCATCTGTGAGGGAGGCCACCTGGGACTCTCACTTGGCTATTTCTGGTCCAACTCTAAAGTCTAGAAGATTTAAGTTTACTCAAAAAAGAATTCCCCAGTTGTTCGAGGACTTGAATCATTCTCCGCAATGGGTGCCATCACCTTGCTCTGGCTCAAATGAACAAAAGGCCGCGGCAGCAGTTCTGAACAATGTTCTTTTCACCAGTGAATTTGGATTGCACCCTCTTGAGTCTTGAGCCATCATTGTGCCCAGTCTTACCTTAAGGCTATATTGTGTGAATAAATGGGGCACACCCGATTCGAACACCCTGCTCCGCTTCGAAGGGTTGTCTGCGCCGAGAGGCTGCATCTTTGCAGTAGGGGCACGTGGGGGAGATGAAAGCGATCACCTCCTTGGGCTTTCGGACAGCGAGCATTGCTTTTGGCGATTGGGTGACGGACAACGGTTTTCCTCCGTTGTTTTCCACCCAACTCAAGAATATGTGGTCATTGATGGCATTAGGACGAAATATATGTATAGATAATTCATACATATGAATTATCATACATCGTATAGTATAGCCATGGTATAGCCATTCGAGGAACAGGGAAACTAAGCGTCAAAAGCATTCCTTGAAACCACCAAGCAGTCTTGATGTAAATTTGACGTCGCCTGCCTCACGGTAACTCTTCCAGCCCACCAGTCGGACAGCCTGGCCCTTTTACTTAGAATGACTATGGCACATAATCATAGCAAAGGAACCCCCCCAAAAAAACACACAACCTCCTCTGCGCAAAGGAGGTTTTGTAATGTTCTGTTGACATATTATGTGTTTCACACATCCCAGGCTTGATAATTCCACTGACGCCTCGGCCTTTTGCACAAGTAGGTGGGCCCAAAGAGTTCTGCGGAGTCAACACAAGACAACTCCAGGGCTGCTCAGACACATGTTCTGCGATGTACTCGTCCACAGAGGCTCCTTGGATCATAGCATCAAACGAAACGCAGGGCACCAAACGACAATCTTTAGAAGCAGCTGGCTCAGCTGATGATTGCAAAAGAAACTACGACTATGAATTGCAAGACATCCCACATCCACACCATCTCCAAGCTCAAGAGCGGGAAGACAACCAGCTGCAAACACATATCATAATATACTAAACAGTCAAAAGGAAGTATTACACAAATACCACCATGTCCCTCAGCAAAGACAACAATGCAGGGTAAAGTGTCCCGTGATGTTTCCTAACCCAATCTGCTGACAATCTTTGTCAAACAGCCGGTACGCTCCACGTTACGCTTGATCAATCCCAGCAACGCATTGCCGTTGAAGCTCGTGCCTGACGAGGAAACAGGCGTTGTGACACACGATGTGACATGCAACTTCCCAAGAACTCCAGATGCAACTGCAGGAAGACGTGTGCAATGGAAGATGTGTGCACGAAGAACATGTCTTCCTGCAAATCAAGCCTGGATTTTGTGACCTCAGGAGCAACCTGGCTCAGTCGGATGAGGTCCAGGACAAGCCACGCACATGTGAACTGCGATGAAATGCCTCAAACGAACCTGCTCATTCTCAACCCTTTTCCTGCCCCCAGTCTGTCCGTTTGACAGAAAGATCACTGAATCAGAACTTATCACAACACTTGAACTTTTGGGGCCCTTGACCGTCACCCATGTTGACATTGACTGCAAAAAACAATCGCTTCGACCAACGCTTGGCCCGCCTGCCGGCGCTTGGAGCTGCGCTTCGCTCCAACAGCTCCAATCAGTGCTAAGGAAAGCCTTGAGGATTCCATCCGAGCGAGAAAGACCGGATCACACCCGGCTGGATCACGGAAAACAATCCTCAGACTTGAGATTCGGTGTTACCTGCTAGCTACTGGTAGTGTTCTTCTTGTTTTTTTCTGCTTGTGATAGGTTTCAAGGATGACAGGTTAACACACTGCTGGTTCACCTGTCAGACTTCCACATGACTTCTTGCCAACTGCGCGGCACAGGTGTCGCGAAAGTGCCGTGACCGCCGCTGGCCGAATGGCCAGCTTGGGCCGGCTGCGCCAAAGGCACGACCGGAGTTCCAGCTGGGGCCACCTCAACAGGTGCCAAAGCAAAACATCTCAGACTGCCGAGAGCAACTCAAACAATGTGCATCTTTTTCTGCAAATCTCTCACAGTATGGTGTCTCCCGACTTAGGATTCACTTAAGGTGTGCTCTTGTTTGCACTGTGCATCCAGGGAGCGAATGCCACACCGAAGGATTCCATGATGCCTCTGCCTCTATAAGAAACATCCACGGGCACAATTCTGACACGCACGCACACGCATGGTGCATTCTTATTTCTAGTGTTTTTTTGGGGGGGGCTTCCATCAGTGTTACAACATACACATCATGACAGT